TTTTTGCTTGAAAACATATTATTTAAGTTTTTTACAACGGTTGATTCTAAATCGGTCGTCTGGTCCCGACAATTGAGATAAAAGCGATATTATTGTCTGTATTGAAAGTTTATTTTGGATATACCTATTGCATACTCGGCTCGCCGATAATTTAACACAAGCACCTTATTGTGTAAAACTATTAGTTATTAGTAAATAGTTGATCGTTGCTTATTCGTGTCTCACTATTTTACTTACTACGCGTTTATTCGTTTATATTTGACATTTTTATTCTATTATATTTGTTTTATTTTAATCTGACATCATTCTAAGACGTCTAAACATTCCATTATGGTAAGATATTTTTAAAATTTAATTTTTAGTATACCTAAGTGATTGGACAGAAAATATTCTAATATCTAATATTTATGTTCCTATATTAATTCCTAGTTCCTAAATTGTTATTATTATTATAATTATTATTTATTATCATAGACAAATTCTATAACAAATAAGCAGACTAAAAAAATTAACTATTTTTTTCTTACCCGAGTCAAAAAAACTAATGTCAACAAAACTTAAAAATACCAAGATAAACATAAATAGTCAAAATGATAGTGATAAGATTAAATATATATAAATTTTCTAAACCTCTTCTACATAAAAAGTTCCTGGCTACACCACCGTACGGCAATAAAGCCACGTGCATGTATTTTCGTCCACATTCATAGTGAGGACGGTTGTAATTGTTATTTAATTACCGGCTCATTACGAAAACTACAAATATATATATATATACATACGGACCGTGTCAACCGTCTTTCATTCTTTTTTTTTCGTCCCAACCGATTGTCTTGAGTCCTTGGTTAGTTAAATCGTTTTCTTCACACTCAGTCGCATAGGGAAATTTCTTCGGATCTCACCCTAATAAATCACTGACGCTACGGCGATCGAGACGCCGCAACTATATATAACATTGAAACAATCTAAATTTTGAAAATGTGTACTTGCACACGGAATACTTAGAAACACATTTAGTTCAATGAAAACAGTTTAAATACGCATACAAATTTTACCGTACGGCATAATTACTACGATACGACGATGACAGAATGCTTGCAGTACTCACACCCACGTTGTCGTGTAGTCGAAGCTGACTAAGTACCACACGTATCGAATGACTAGTATTAATAGCAATTCGCGAACCTATTCTAAACTCCTGTTCATCTTCCCAGAAGGGAAGTTAGGGTTACGATCATGATGACGAAAGATAGAAAATCGAACGGTTCTTTTATAAGTATACGATTTGGCGAAAACAGGTTTCAGAGGATACATGTTCTGTGATGCGAAAATCGATCTCTTGTCTTGCTCTAAGTCCAGAAAGTTGAGAAAGTGCACTATCGCAGTTAGAAAACGAACAAGTTGGAAACTTGCATCCGACTAATAGAAAATCGCGAATGTTTAATGGATGAAACTTTATTTTATGTAAATCCACAGATCAACAATATTTTTAGCAAAAAAAATTGACAGGGGGGTAGGAGGGAGTAGAATGGTAAATTGGGTACTCAACCAAACAGAACAGTAGAATGTAAAATAAACAGAGCATTCACAACCGGACGCCTTGTTCAGTATACAAACACGTCACATTATTAAAGTAATAACTGTGAATAAACGATCGTAACTGATTTTAGAACTTTTTATTATATTGTCTGGTGACTGGTAGACTATTTCTTGACATATATCAATCGTCATGCGTTACAATTTATAACTCGATTTAACACTAGATATTAACACTGGAAATGTGACATCGGTGCGTGAATTTCGGGTCTTAAATGTCTAATGCGTCACATAGATAGCAGGACGAGAAGCGTCAGACACGAATGTTTTAAACAATAAATATGCAGGGTGATATTAGGTCAACTACTGTGTTTTACGATTACCATATTTCATAGCTCTGCCCGGTGTATACGTCGTATGGTTAGGGTTGCCATACGTCCCGGAAAACCGGAATTGTCACCGGTTTTGGACTTCGCGTCCCGGTATCCCGAAAAATGTTTTCGGGACGTCCATATGTCCCGGCTTGGACTTTAGAGGAAATGTAGTATTGTTTAATTTTTAATTTCGACCATTTTATCTCAAGTACATTTTTAATACTTAATCGATTAACAATATATAATAAAAATATAATTTGTAATTTACACATTTAAATATATAATATATTATATTTTACAAATTTTTTTTTTTTGAAAATACGTTTCTAACGCCCTCACACTAAAACCATTATTTTATAACATTTAAAAAAATGCCTAGAGGGGGATCTAATCTCCACATCCCCCCCTTGTATACGCCACTGATCCTCTCAATATATTAAAAGTTATATAAAAAATATAATACTCAACATTGTGTTTGTATTGTCCCGGTTTCGCCTTATAAATATATAGCAATCCTACGTATGGTCTAATGTTCAATGCAAGTATAAACAATATTACAGTCACCAATTGAATTAACACACAGCATTGAATTATGTTAAAAATATATATAAATTGATATACTTTATATTTTAATATATAGATCATTTCTTTAATATTAGTTATTGAATTAATCTGAAAATCAACGAAGTTTTTTTTTAAATATTTAATACATTTGTTTGTTAGGAAAATAATTATTATTATAATTTAAAACTATTAAAACAAATTCACTTTCTTAAATATTACATTCTATATTTATTATTATTAAGTAGTTTCAAATTAATGTGAGGTTTGGTAATGCTTACTTCCAACCAATTGTGACTTAATAATATCTCGATTGAATATTAAAATAATATAAAATAACGTTTTTATGTTTTGTTTCAATATGTTTACGGATCCCTAAAGGGTCGTGGTTTCAGAGAACCACTAGTTTAATAAACTAACAATATATGTACTATGAACAATAATATGGTTCAACTATGAATTGACAAATCTACAAATCTTCCTGTCGGCCCTATATTAACAAGAAGTTTATTAATTTAATTGGTAATTTTATTAATTTTACTGATATTTTTCGTTCTTGTGCATTGAATTTACTGCCCCAAACAATGATCTCAATGTTTTGAATGTATTCATTTATCGCAACCGAAAATATTTAAAAAACGTCCACGATTATCTATCTATCGATGTCCCATCTAACTATCAGTACCGTTGACAAAATCTGCACACTTATTAAAGAATAAGTATAACTAATAAATATAAGTATAAGGATAGTGGAGCTACGAAGAATTTCCCCCCAACCCGCAAACTGATTAGAATTATTTGATGGCAAAACACAAATATTCAACGCCCGTCTCTAAAATAAAAAACGGTCGCTACGGTCGCACAATATAAAACGACGTGTTACAAATGCGGTGATATATGCTTGGGTGCGGAAATGTACCGTCGTATATTGATCGATTTCCCACCCACGTATCAAATAAAGAGGAGAAATTCCCCACCACCCGTACTTATCTAGATTCACGTCCCGCGACCGTGGTTAGGGGGAAACGACGAAAACATATCGAATCGTTCGTGTCGTACATCAGCACCGTGTTCGACGCGTACTGGTAGTTGAAATAATGGAAAAGGGTGAGAAGAACACCCCTTGAACGCCACCCCCGACGACCCCGTGCGTCCGCCGAGGGTGATAGTATAGCAAGGGTGCGGAGGGCTCGATGCTGAACGGTAGGGGGACGTGTCGGGTGCGTGGTCGGCCGTCGCTCCAGCCCACCGAGCATTATCATCCGCCGCGCTCCAGCCACCCGTCGGCTACCTGTCGCCAACGCGGGTGCGCGCGCACGCGACAACATCCGCAGCGGAAACTAACCCTCGCCTCCGGTCTGCACCGGGACATTTCGAACCGCGTCCTCGGCTCGTGTGCATCGCTTGCACCCCGTTTCACTCCCAGTCCTGTCGGCTTCACCAGTCCAATCGCCAGCCAGTAGTCCAGTCAATCCAAACATGTCGCAACGAGTAACACTCTTACGTCAAAAGCTCCAGGCGGTGACCGACGCACAAGTCGTCCCGAATGTGCAAACGACCTCGTAAGTTGTTAGTTTTCTGACGATTACACTCAACCCCTACCCTCCCCCAGCCACCTCACTGTGAGTACCACCACCTTCGCGACCACCATTTATATCACAGTGTCGTCTGAAGTTGCCCAAAAACCACCCCTGGCCGTCACCGCCGTGGCGGTTCTATCATTTCCGAAACGTATTGGCAACGACCTACCGATAACGCTTCTCGTCGCAGTTCGCGAATGGAATAATAACCGCTTGCACAACCCCCACTGACGCTTATTATAATGGTTATCATCTCGGGAGTTTTGATTTTTGCCGAAATTGAACTTACTGGCGTGGGCAGGGTGGGACGTATTGACATGTTTCCCGCGTGTAGATCTGTTACCTGCTGTAAAATATATATTAATTAGGTAAGCGTGCAAAACGAATTTTAAACTATTTTTATTCATAAAAGAAAAAAACATTTTGCATACACATAGACATATGCCTATAGTGTCTACATGTATAAATACATCACTGAACATTGGTAACAAAAACGCAAAACTATGGGAAAAGTTGTTACAGGAACAAACATTTTAATAAACAATAAGCATTTATGATTAGAAATTATCGCCAAAACGTCTTTCAGTAAGCAATATAGTTTCGATCCTCCGCGATATTGCAATTATTGTAAACGCTATCATGGACGCGTGTACAATCCGTTCTGTTTAGTACTTTCTGAATCTTTACTGGAGTATCTATATTTGAATCTTAAAATATTAGGTGAAAAATTATTATTAACAATGATTCAAAGGAATATAAAAAAGAGTTTTTATTAATTATCTAATAATTTATGGGTTGAAAAAGTTTTAAACGAATGTTTGAATTCACCCTGGTAAATGTTTTCTTTTAAAAAAACGACATTTATTATTACAGATACAGAATTATATTAAACAATATACTAAATAATGGTAATACTGATACTGAAGAATTATTACTAGTATTCTTCGAAATGTGTAAGTCACACATCATATCTCCACAAATTGTTGAATTAATTTCTAACATCATTTTAATTTCAGTGATTCGTGAAGATGTTAATTTAGTGGTCTCTCGTAAAATATTAACTCTTGTTACCATTAAAATTTTACCTGAATTATCCGATGTTCAATCTAAATTGCTGGCCCAAACTTCACTGGCACAAGTAAGAATTGTTTTTATTCGTAAATTGTGCTCATTGAAAAATAAGTTATTTGTTTGGTTTCCAATAGATTCGATCTAGACCAGATGTTTTTGTACATCAAGCAGCCGATATTTGTCAATACTTAGCAAAGATTTATGAGAAAGAAAATAATTGGAAAGACGCTGCAGAATTACTCATAACTATAGATCTAAGGTAAAGACAAAAGTATTTGTTTATGTTTTCATAATTTATTTTAAGGCTATATTTACAATTTTTAGAAAATTTTCTCATGAATATGCATTCGAAAACTACATCAATATTGCTAGACTATACCTAGAAGATGGCCAAGCATCAAACGCAGAAACTTATATCAAGAAAGCTACAAAATTCCTAGTAAAATATATCAAATTGAATTGTTTATTTGAAATAATCTTTTTTTCTTTTGATTATTTAGATTACAGTAGATAATGAATTGCTTCAAATCAGGTATAAAAAAATGTTTACCCAAATACTTGAATACCAAAATAAGTTTGTCGAAGCCGCACTTCAGTATTATGAACTGTCAGTTATGATAAGTTTGCCTCAAGAGATATGTTTGTCTTTCTATAAGAATTCCTTCGAATGTGCTGTATTGTCAAGCATAGGTAAGATATATAATTGTATATGTAATTGAGTAATTTTAATTTGTATTCTCTTTTAGGACCAACACGGTTTCGAATGTTTTCATTATTGTATAGAGACGAAAGAAGTACAGATTTAGCAGAGTTCTTGATACTTAGAAAATTGTGCTTCAGCCATATATTAACACCTAAAGATATTTCTGAAATATATGGAATGCTTCAACCAAATAAGCAGAATGCAAAAAACAGCTGATGGTAATTGTATAATTTATATAGGTTACAACATTTAATAAGTTTTCATATTATTTTTAAATTCATAGGTGTAAGCATATTCCATCTAGCCATATTAGAACATAATATATTTGGGGTTAGTAAAGTATACAAAAACATTTTTATTGATTCTCTTGGTTATATATTGGGTGTTGATGCAAGAACAGCAGAAAGTGCAGTAGCAAACATGATATCCGAAGATCGCATACATGGTTCAATTGATCAAATAGATAATTTGATTCACTTCAGAAGTAAGTTTCATATTTATACTGATCAATGTTCACCATCTATAAATCTATTTTTATATTTCCAAAATATAGTTCCAACAGATAATTTGTTATTGAGATGGACAAATGGAATCAAAATGCTGTGCACCCATGTTAATACTTTGGTTGATCTTATTAGACATCATCAACACTAAAGTTGCATTCAAAGTTCTTCAATTGATAAAATAGATAGTTGAATCAATTTAAGAAATGAGTATTATTATTATTATTATTATTATTATTATATACTGGTAAATGTTCACTGTCTATGTATCTATTACATTATTTTTTTTCAAAATATAGCAACTAGTAACGCACCAGCTATAACAATGTTTGCAAGAGAAAATTTAATCAAATTGTTCTACTGTGAAATCGATCATATGCTTTATTATCATATGCTTACTGATTCTAGAACATTTAAGCCTTAAAGCTTGAATGAAAAAGTATCGGTGCGATAGAATATAAATCTAATTTTAAGTGGATGATTAAACTTATTTGAAAAAAAAACATAAAAAAACTTATCAGTTTTATTATTTTTTATGGATAATTATTCAACATACACAAATCTCAAAAAATATTTAATTATCTCTTATTCTTGTAAGTACTCGTGAAATTTTGAAACTAGTTAACTAAGGGACACAAATGTAGTCCGATGAAAATATTTTTTTCGACTAATTCATAGTACTCGTATTTTGAAATAATGGGCTAAACACAATTAATGGTTTATTTTAAAAATATTTTTTGTACGACGGATAAATTTGTATATAAAATATTATATTATAGATATTTACTTTTTCTAAAAGTGTTAAGATTTATTTTTAATAAATATGCATAGCAAACATGTAATAATACCACGTTCTATTATACATTCTCTATTTTGAGAAAATAATGATTAGTCATCCAGTGAAAATTCTTTAAAAAACGCATTGTATTTTTGTATCTATTACTACCCACAACTATGAGCAATAGTTTCACATATAGCTTTTAGTACAATTTCCTTTTAAAGTTAAATAAAAAATAACAATAACCACAAAATAAATTTGATTCTACAAAATGCATTGATACTGTTAGTATTCAGGTGTATTTATTTTGTATCATTAAATATAACCATATAATTTTATAACTTATATTTTTGTTACACTGTGTAATTTTATAGCATATCGCTTAAGTTGAAATACTTCTTGCAGATGGTAATTTTACTTGATTTATTGCAATCACTCAAACTGAACGCATTGGCCTAATTAACAATAAATTATTTTAACCATGTTTACTTTTAACAAAAATATGTAGTATACGTGTTATCAAAGTTAAATACTTGTATATATTAAATAAATAATGATATGATTATTAGAATAAATAATATCAACTCGTAACGTATAATATATTTACACCTAAATTATGGTTATATAACAGAAAAAAAATAAATATTGCATTAAACTGTTTTTCTCAATACAAATTATCTATTCCATTTCTAGCCTACATCCTTGCTACTATATTCATGTGAACTGTAGAAATAAAAATTACATACAGTCATTCAGATCAAGTATTAACAGCAAGAAAAAATAAACATAATAGTCCTAAGAATAAATAATATCAAAATTATTTTATTGTATTTGTTACTATTGAACCGATTCTTTCTTGGATTGATTCATTTATATAGCTCAGTACAATGGTTTAAAGGTTTTGAACATAAATTCAGTACTATCGAAATCCCATCGGCTATTCCTTAGGAGGGCACATGACTCCTTTGATCTTTTCATTATTTATTAATGAAATTAAAAAATGATTTCTTTTGGAAATTTCCTAATGTTTGCAGACGATTCAAAAAAAAAAAATTGATAACATGGCAAAACGTTGTCATTGCAAAATTAATTAAATTCCTTGATTGTTTGATTTAATTTAATTGGTAGTGGTGCAAATAAAAATATTTACCACTAACCCACCCAACCCCACTTAGATACCCTCAAAAATATTATTTCCGTTTAGGTCTAAGGTAAAAATTTATTTTTCAATAGTTTCATTTAGTTTTTATCCATGTAACTAAAATGACGAGTGACAATGTAGCATCAGTTTATTTATAACAGAAAGTAATTATATTCATTTTTTTTTCAGTGCATGTATTAAATCATATCACTTTTATTTAGTTATTTGTTATACAGAACCTATAATAAATAATATAATTTAATAAATTGTAAGTTATAGAAAAATCATCGATATTAAAAAAGGTGTAATAAGAAGATATCAGTACAAGATATCATTCAATTTTGCACAAATAATCTTAGGGGACGCATATGTAAACTTATTACTTGAATATGGAATCTATCTACTATGAAAAAAATCGAAAATTTATTGCACTAAATGGTTTTCAATTTGGATTTTAAAAAAAAAGGTAACAAGCAACAATGAACGTTAGACATGTATACATAAAAAATGTATGTTATATTTGAAAATAAATAATTTAAATTGAATTGTTGTTGAAATAATATTTAATACATATGTAGCGATGAAAAATTATAGTAAAAATCTGAACTTATAGAAATTGAAGGATAGTTAAAGAGAAAAAAAAATTGTTCAAGAAAGGTCGCCAGTCAAAAATTGATGTGCTGTAGGTACAAACATTTTCACCCAAATAAAATAAAACACAGAGTAATCCTGAAAATATCAAATAAAATAAAACTGTAAGTACATTATAACATGGTTTAAAATACATAAAAAAAACAAATTAACGTATTACATAGAAAATACTGGGTCACTACCATTTAAATTGAAAGAAAATTGGATTTTTTTTAAGAAAAATAGTTTAGGAACCATTTCGGACGCACCCCTTCATCGTAACGCGGCAATCCAAGGACGTCTAACAACCCTTCATTGCATGCACTGGCGAGTCGAACAGCATTTCCATCAAGGAGTTTAAATTATCAAATAACAGATCGGTTATGATGTTAACATTCTGGTCACACCTTAATTATCACCACGGGTCACAATCAATATTCCTTGTATTTGTTGCTATATCATGCGAACTTTCGTACATTCTTATCTGTAATAGATGTCCTGATGTTCATGCAACGACGTCTAATCGGAACGATCAATCGAGTGATTTTTAAAATTCAACTGTCGACCACACAGGTTAGTAAAGTCAACACAACGCTATCATAGTATAATACGTTTTTGGGTAAACACCGTATTTAATTGCCCAAGTACTAATTATATAATTAACAATTGAAATTAAAAGCCTATTCGTTTTGTACATTATTTAAAACTAAAAATTGTCCGGGAAAATCACTCCATTTGTGTGTTATTACAATATTACTTATACTGAACTTTTGGTTTTAAGAAATAAAAATCAATTTCGTCCTTATTGGGGTAATAACTAATTTTTTTCTACTTAAATATCTAGTAAATAGTGTTTTTAAGCCAAATTTATTTATTTTTTATTATTATCTGAATATATACAAATAATATCAAGTACCTATGTATGTATTTTGTATAAAGTATGAACAAAAATATTTTTTAAGGTTCTATGATGGTGTTTTTCAACCGGAAGTATACGTACCCCTAGTGGTATGTGAAAACATATGAGAGGTAATTTTGGGAAAAAAAGGTAATAGTGGAAAATTTAAAAATTGATGTATTTGAATTTATAAATTATCTTTGAAATATTTGATAACGAACACTGTTTATGGAAAGGGCTTTATCGTCATACACTTTCATTAAAAATAAGTATTGTAATAGACTTTTTGTGAGTTCAAACTTACAAGTTTACTAATCATCTGTAGAACTAAATTTAGTTTTACTAAATAATCCTTATGATCACATTAAAATTAAATTGTAAAATATAAATTATTTTTTTGTATACATGTTTTTGGCACAAAGTGATTCAAATAAATAAATATCTACTTCATAGTTATTATTTTTATTTCCATTAAAACTAATTTTATAATTTATTAGCAATCCTTTGTGAAAATAAGACATATTGGCAAGAAGTCAAAGGGTTGAGGAACGTTGTTTTATAAGAACAAATCGTCGTTGACACGAAAAAACCTCTTATGTGCCAAATTTTCGATTTTGAGATATTGGTATCCCTGGATTCAGAAAAAATAAGCGGTAATTTTGATAAAAACTCCTATGAGCTATCTCTATCGTAGAATTAATGAAAAATAATATACAATTCCTCCTATGTGTTACCAACCATAAATCGTTTATAAAATACCTCCTATGTGATTAAAAATTTGATCAAAATTACATTGGAGATATTGGCATGCATAGTAGATTATAATTTTTTATAATTAGTTACCTATAAAACAGAAAAGTGAGAAACTATGTTTTTTTTTCAACTATGATAAGAAATCCAAAGACTGGTTACTATTACATTACTATTTTTAATTTTTACCTTATTTGTTATAATTCTAAAAAGTATATTTTAAGTATTTTGAGTAAATATAATTTGTTATTTATTTTATTACCAGGACTGAAAAAGTGGTTAACTATTTTTTATTGTTTTTTTTTGTTGTAATGTTTTACATTTTATAATTAGTTATAACTTATAAAAGTTAGCAATTATTTTTAGTTAGTACATATTATAACTATAAAGTTTAAAGTTATTTTGTTTTATAATGTTAAGTATTTTATACAATTATAATTTGTTAATAAATATTTATTTCTTAGATAACACAACTTAGTTTATTTTTTATAAAATCGTTCAAAATAAGTCTTAATTATTATTTCTCTGGCATCAACTATTATTCAAATAATCTCCTAAGTACTGTTTGGCAAAAAAGATTGATTAACATAACATCCTATGTGATGAAATATTGACAATTTGTATAATAAATACATATATATTAAGTTTTTTACTTCAATTTTTTTCAGAATAAAAATGTATATTTTATTACGTTTTTTAAATGTATTTTCATTAATCATTGATGATTTGTGATTTTTTAAAACGTTTTTCGTCTTTCCTGAAAAATTAGGTTTAAGCACATGGGAGCTTTTTATTATACTTTTTTGCTTCCTATAAATCTATCGAGTATTTAACCACAAATACATTCATAAGCCATTACTTTATTATATATATATATAATAAAGTGATAATAAGTAGTATTAATAAATGTGTATATGTTAATTTTACTATAAAATTTGTTTAATAACAAATTTATTTTGTTATTGTATTTATTATATTCATCAATAGTGTTCATAGAAAAAATGACTGATTCCGATTCTACAGATTATTCAGACATACAAACTTATGATGAATCGTTTGAAGTAAGGTTTTTGATTTGAAAAATTAGTTTTTTTTACTTAATTTTTTTTATATTGTAGAATACAACTCCATTTATTAATTTTTTTATGAATCAAGATCATGCCCCACCTCGTAGTTCAATGCATTACCTGAAGATAAAAGAAAATAGAGAACCAATCAAAACCACTTCTAAGGCAAATTTTTGGTGTATTCCTAAAGAACTATATAAAAGGTAAATGTTAATTTTTTTATTTTTAAACAATTAAATTATAAAATCATTTTGTATATAGAGAGATTGGTCACAATAATAAATGTTCAGTATGGCGTAACACATTTTATCAATCAGAGGTTGCGACACAAAAACTTAAATTGAGTAAACAATTAATAAGTCATGAGAGTTATTCAAGATCTATTGATTTTAATAACGCTGGTAACTTATTAGCTAGCGGATATGATGGTACAATAGTCGTCTGGGATTGGTCTTGGGGAAATCCCATACTTAAACATACTCAAAGTCTACATGCCGAAAAGATATCTCACGTAAATTAATTTGCACCAATTTACTTGTTTGATTGATTCTTCATTAATAATCATATCATATCTAGATAAAATTTCTTACAAATCAAATTTTGACAGCTGGAAAAGATGGAATAATTATATTGGCTGATGTGCATAATTCTGGTATTATACATAGTAGATTAATATCACGTCATATTAAGCAATGCAGTAAAATTGGAGTACATTGTGAAGTACAAAATGTGTTTCTCACTTGTGGAAAAGACGGCATTGTTAAGAATATTGACATTCGTGAACCTATTAATAGATATAATAAAATATTTACAGAGTAAGGAATATTATTTTATACATTGTGTTGTTTTAATTACTATAATAGGGGAGACCTGGGTAAGTGGACAGATCTAAGGTTCAATGATTTTTTTTAAATATAACACTCAAAGATAAATATATACATTTTACAAGAATAAATAGAGGACATTTTCAAGACTGTTCTAAAATAAAAGTTAAGCTTAATTATTTTTTTTTTAATTACATTTTTTGGAATTTATCAACTTACCCAAATGCTTTTGAAAGTTAACATTTTTTTTTGGATTAATTTGACGTATGTAATTTATATTATAATTTTATAAGTAAATACACTTTTTAAAAATTCAAAAATAAAAAAGTTTATCTACTCCTTTCAATAACTTATTTTATGCATACTAAGTACCTATATATTAAAATCATTGTTGTTAGAAACATAAATAATAAAATTTTGAGTATGTACAATTATTATTATTACTATTTTTGTCAAAAAGGTACAATTTTCCTTTTATAATTTTTTAGCATTATATCTATAAAATTTAGTATACAAATTAATAATTTATTATACCTATTTCATAATAATTTCTGTTATCACATAAAATCTTAAATAAAAATATTTGGCTTTGCTCCTCTACAAATATCTCACTATGTTTAAAATTCTTTATAATTAAATTACTTTTTATCATATACCAAAAGTACAACTTAGTTTTATAAAAATATATTACTAATATACTGTATTTTTCTATTTATGTTAACCAATTTCTTTAATTAACCATTTTAAATTATATATTTAAATATTTTTCTTCTATTTTTATTAGTGTATTACTATTAACTATTTTTACTTCATATTAATTCTATAAATTTTAAATAATCAGAATAAGAATGAACATAATAAATTATTCTAAGATCGATAGAAATAATGAGGCAAATTCAATGTCTGCTTTTATTAAAAGATCTTTTACCGGTGTATTTTTTTTTAAGCATCACCGAGTGAAAATCTTTTAATATTTAGTTTGTCTGATATTTATAAAATGTGTTATAAAAATAATAAACTTTATTATGTATGTATTTGAATTGTATGTATTTAGTAAAAGTCATTAAACTTTTAAAATTTATTGTATTATATACACCATTTATATTTAGTTTTGTATGTTTATTTTAAAGATAAATACAATTATATATATATACGTATATTTTTTTTCTTAATAGAAATAAAGTATGCCTTGGCAATATGCCTATTGGGTGATATTTTATATTTTTATTTTTTTATAATATAATATTAATTATTTATATTTGAGATAGATTCAATAATTTTCTGATTGATTTATTAATTGTTGAATTTGATATATTTTTTTCTCTATTTTAGTGACCATTTTTCTCATACCGCTATATTAATACCTCCTAGTGTGTCTTCATAAGTACAGTGTTTCTAATTTATTTCAATTTTCTTAGTATTATTTACTTTCTTTGCTAAACAGTCCACTCATTCGTTACCAAGTATATTATTCCAGTATATTTTTCAGTTTTTGATGTGTCAGTATAGATATGTTTACAATTAGGGTAATCTTTGATTGTTTTGTAAAATTGTTATTCATGTGTGATTGATGTTGTATTATTTTTATTATAGCTGATTAAGGATGTATTTAGAGATATTTTTTTAATTTTCCATGGTGGAATGCTTAATATTTCATAATTTATTATGTATTTATAATAAATTTGGTAATCGTTGAGAACTTATTTATTCTTCTTTATATCGGTTATAACCGCTCAATGTTGCTTTTAATGTTATAATTAAGGCGGAGATTGAATATTGTGTGGTTAATTTTTGGTCGTACATTATATTTAGAGTAGCACATTTGAGCAATAATGTATTTTATTTTTATTTCATTGGTAATTCACCATCAATTATGAATATAATTACTATTGAGCTACTTTTGAATCTACTTAAACATAATCTTAAATCTGTTTGGTGTATTATGTCTAATGTTTTAAATGTTGATTTTTTTTTCCTGTTCTGTAAAATGTCCAATCTGATAAGTGAGTTGTAGATTTGTAATAAAGTTTCTGTGTCGACTCCTCAATGTATATTTGCTAGTTTTTTTATTATGTTTCTTCTATTTTTACGTTATCTATATGCTTTTTCCATGTGAGTTTTTCATTAAAAGTTAATTCTAATATCTTTATTGTTTTAATTTAGTAAATCTGTTTACTACTTAGTGTAATATTTGGGTTTGTTTAATTTTAACTATTAGAAAATATAATATATTTTGATTTCTCTGGATAAAAGGAAAATCTTGAAGAGTTATTCTATACATTTAAATAATTCGCTAAGTATTGGATTTTGTCTTCTATGTATTTAAGTCTTCTATGCCTGATCCATATGTAACTATTGTCAGCATAAAGGTATATTTTAATAGGTTTTGGTATTTGTTGAATTATTTTTATAAATTATAAAATTATTTTTTTATTTTTATTACTCAGTCATTTTTTTATTTCTAATTCAATTAATTGTGAAAATAGTATTGAGTTTGAGGCTTTCATTATTCTTCTGATGTATATGTACTAGACGTATTTCTATATTCAAATAGTATTTGTATTGGCTAGTGATCCTTATTATATAATTTAATAAACCATAATAGATTTATGATTAATATTGTTGAAGATATAGCTAAAGTCAATGAATGACAGTGAAGTTGAACTGTTTTTATTTATTAAGAATATATTGTTCATGCCCAACAGTTTTTCTATTTTTTTCCCTCTAGTGTTTTTCTATTTTCTTATTATTTAATACAATTAAGTATTTAGTTTTTTTCAATATGAATAGATTAATTTTTTCAAATACTTTATTTCTGATTTAGTATACATTAAATAGATGATAGATAGGGAGTCAATGACATCAAAATATATGTTACTTAAAAATGTATTTATTTTTTTATTGTAATTAGTATACTACATATCAAGACTGTTCAAGGAAATAGCTTGCAATTATATGGTATTGACATAAATCCTATGAAACCATTTGAATTTATTGTAAATGGCGAAGATGATTGTGTAAGAATGTATGACAAAAGAAAAATATTACATAAACCAGTAAAAATATTCCAACCTTTTCTTCCTACTAGAGAAGTAATAAGTTGATGTATTAAAAAAATAATTGAACTGAACTCAATAGCAGTTTAATAATTTTCAGCGATTGGAAGACCATTTTTATGACGGTGGATTTCTAGAACCACCCAGTGGTAATCGAAATACTGCTTCTGCTGTTTATAATTATTGTGGTACAGAAATTTTAGCTGTCTGTGGTAATGAACATAACAATAATATTGTTCTGTACAATGTTAATGATCCACCTAAAACTATTTCACACCGTTATATCAATGAAACAAGTTTTAATTCATCGAGTATGTAATTTTGTTCAAGTTTTTATATAATACTTAATAGTTTCTGAAATACCATTTAATTTGTTCTTAGTAACTGCAATTAATTTTTATGGACCCAGAAGTGAGTATGTAGTATATGGTTCGAACAAAAATTTTTTTGTAATTTTTGATAAGAAAACAGAAGCATTGGTTCTAAAAAAATGCCAAAAAGGACAAGGAAAAGTACAATTAAATATTTTTCTTCTTTAATTAATATTATGTAGCACATATTATAATATTTTGATTTTCAGATTTCAGCAATAGAGGGACATCCACATTTACCAACCCTTGCAACTAGTGGACGGTTAAACGCTATTCATATATGGGAACCACTGAGTGAAAGACAGTCGCCAGATATTGAAAACTTACAAGAGGTAAATTGTTATATACTCTATTCATTACGAGATCAGTACTCGGCGGCACGTAGGTCGACCACCCATCAAACATATTAGCCGTTGATTCAACATGTCGTGTTCTCTGCAGGGGCGCTCCGATAGCCCTCTGATGGCTCCACTGCACATGCGAAATTATTATATGTATAATAACCTTATCGCAATGCGCTGTACATTTTAGATTTTATTTACTCATAAGTTGCCGATTGTAAAATAATGCGACGTCCCGTAGAGACAAAAGCTCTCGAGGTGAAGTTCCGGAACAAAGCTACGCCCGTACATAGTGGGCGTTGAGTACTGATCTCATAGTAAATATAGAATAAAATGTTTCGATACATAATGCAATAGGTTTTTATGATTATAAATTAAATTATTATAATGCTTTTTATTGTTTTAATGATAAAAAAGAACATTATTTGAAAAAAAAAAATGAAATTGAATATTTTAAATTATATTTAAGTTATCACTTTATTTCTATAATTATAGTGCACAACACGTCATATAAAAGAAAATAAAAGATTAAGAATGGATCTTACTGGTAATATTTTGGTAAGTTCTTTCATTTCTATATGATAGCTCTAACATTTTAGATTCACCTTAAAACTTCCACTGTATTAATTTAATGATTTATGTACATTTGAATGTTTGATTTCAGTTCTAAGACACAAATGAATCTTAAAACAATCTTCAAGTGTCTAATACTTTTGAATAATTGTACAATACTGTAAAAATGTTTATGTATTCAATTTATAATTTAATTTTTTTATATATTTATATTTTTAAAGAATTTTGATATGATTACATGATATTAGACAAATTTTAAATATAAAATATTTTTATTTTGAAAATTTGTATAACTTTTTTATATCTTTTTAGTAAATTTAAATTCATATCATAAGTCTAGAATAGTATTTTAATCAAGAAACTAAACGAAAAAAACCAATAACAACTGACAAGGGATTACTAGGGATCGATTGAAAGCAGCAATTAAATCAATAACCACTGTTTTTTTTTTTTCTGCATGTAACAAATAAAAAAATAAAAAAAATTACAATAGCAAACCGTGAACAGTTTTATTGATAATATCCCTTAATAATATTCTTGTACATAACCTATTTTAATCTGGTATGAATGATTAAAATAGGATTTAAATTTGATTAATATGATTATTTTTAAATATGATTTTTATTATCAATCTGGTATGCATATAATATATATTAATATAATATGCATAATATTGTACAACTTTAATTAGTTTGAGCTTATGTAAGTATGATGTAAAAATATTTATTATAATATACAGCCGTATATAATGTGAAGGAATCCGATTATTACAGCAACAAATTTTATCATTTAATTAGTGCGTATACAGTGGTGTCGAGAGCTTTGCAAGGTATAAATAACATTAAAACACGTATTAAGTTCAAACTAGTGGCGTATACATAACATTTGTATGGGGGGGGGGGGGGGGG